TTATGAATTTTCTTTTTGTTAAAATGATTCCTAAGCAATATAACTTCATCTCAAGTTATACAGTACTGCTCTGAAGGTATAGTTCTTAGGTAAAAAAAAAAACACCTGCTAGTTACTTTTAGTCCCATCAGATTTCAACTCGGAACTGATCTAGAAGTGATTCCATCTACACGATGCCCTGCATGATGCAGCCACATCTTGAAGATCTGCCTATTCCTAACTGATTTTCTCCTTCTACAGTGGCATCTATGTTTCCAAATGTGTTTTTTTTTCACCTGGACACTCATTCATTATGGCAGGTGATCCAGGGTGATGGAAATACCTGTTGCATCAGAGCATTTAGATCTCTGAGAGTGTGAAGTAGCAACTGTAGTGAAATCCAGGATGCCAAACCTTGCTTCCAGATAAATCTGACAGTTTAATGAGAGCACTAGCAGTGTCCACATCAGTCACTTGTATGACTCGTTTTGTAGAATGGAAGAATATGGCAAAACATGTTCAACTGAAGTATTTTCAGAAATAGTGTTCTGATGCGACCCTGACCCCTCTCTGTCTGTCTGTCTGTCTGTCTGTCTGTCTGTCTGTCTGTCTGTCTGTCTGTCTGTCTGTCTGTCTGTCTGTCTGTCTATCTATCTATCTACACACACACAAACACAGGGAGGGAGGGAGGGAGAGACACTCTAATTTTAATCTGGAGAAGCATTTTCATATATAGTAGCAATTCATTTATTTAGTCCACAAGCAAACCTTGCCTTTTTAGCATGCCTCCAATCAGACATGTTCTGAGAGGTTGCAGTCCAGCATTACTAATGCGGTCATCTGCAATGCCCCAGAATTTTCAGACGTAACCTTACATGACGCATTAATGTCACACAAGTAGAATCTTCTATGGAAAAAAAGCAGCATGTAATCCATGTGAGAGGAGGTTATTTGTGTTTGCTGCTATGGCTGAGGTCAGGTCCATTTAATTTTATGGCTTCACATAGATCATGAATGCCAGAAGAAGACAGAAACAATAGCAAGCAAGGTCAATTTTATTTTAGTGCTGTAAGTTAATACTAATTCCAGATTGCTATCACTCCCCTCATTCAATGAGTGACATCTTCTGAGAAGAGCTAGAAGAGGAAACAATTAAGGTGGCTGTTGTGTCATTTCGATTTTCTTCTCAAGTACTTATTTTTATCTCAGGCTTTTCAGAATAAAAAACTCATTTAAAATTTTTGAAACATTCCAGGTTTTGATATTTTACCTTAGCCATATATTTAATAAGTCTGAGGATATTAATTCTTTCAGTGAAATGTCAAGAGAAATACAAAGCTGTATGAATTTTTTTACAATGGGCTCAGTTGTCCCAGGTGTGCATGGAAGTGCCCTCTTTATTATCCCTTGCTGGCTCTGTAAGTATCCCTGGCCCTGGTAATAACCAGAGCTTTAAACATCACTCCTATATGAAAACCCATGGAAAATCTCTTCTAAATAAGGCCATATGAAGGCCATGGAATACAGCCACATTTTTAAGATGGTCTGGTCTGGGAAGTTTCCAAGCAGAACATAAAATCATCTGTTCACCCTTCTGATTATCTTCAACATGAGGCTTTCATACATATATTTCTCCAAATTAGATAAATCTATATACTCTACACCTCAAGCCACCCCCTCATTTATATAACCAACATAATTTTAATGTTATTTTTTGGTGTTGCACATTGCTATTTCCAATGGAGCACAGTGCTAGGACAAGATTCATGAAGAATGCTGGATAAGGACAGGTAAATTGGAGCTAGATACTCTTTTAAATTGATCTGAACTGCTGTGATTTCAGGCTTTATTCTAAGATGATGCACAGGTATAATATAGACCCACGTTATATCTCTCGAACATCAGACTTTTTAAACTCCCCTATGGAAGTCAAGCTGAGGGTGCTGTGTTCCAGATCCACACACATTTGTCAGATAAACCTTACTCTGATTGTCCATAGGAGTGAACATCTATCTTCTCTGCTAGAAACTATCCACTGTTCCTAAGCAAATGGGACTTGTTTCACATGCTTGTAATTTAAAGTGCAAGTTGGCCGTCTGCCTTGAAATTGCATATACAGCACAGTACAATCATTTTGTGTTTATAAATATCTCTGTGTGGCATTAACTGGATAACTATGAGTAGAGAGTTCCCCTTTTCGCCTTTCCCGGAGGCCATCTGCATAATATTACTGATACGGTTCAAAAGCAACCATCATCTCTGACTTCAAAACATTTACCTAGCACCCTGCTCTTCTGATCTTCTAACGGACTGCACTTAAAACATTTGCAAAAGGGAACAAGTGAGCATTTCAACTTTCTTGTTGCCTGCCTTTTTTCCTATTAAAATAGTGATATTTTATTGAATGTCGTTGGTGCCATTGTTTTCTACAAAGAGGTTATAATTCTTTCCTTTTCATTTATACAGAGCAGAACATTTGTTCACCTGCTTAAGTGGAATGGCTCACGGGAAAGGGGAATCTTATGGTTTTGAATATTAACTAGACAACATTCAGAATGTCTGATTTCAGAATAACAACATTTTGGACTATGTGGCACATTGCAGATTGCATGCAAAGCTCTGGAGTTTGAGTTTGCTACTGTACCCATCATGCAGCCTGTTGAATTTATCTATATAGTTACAGTGAATAAGAAGAGATTGTTGCCATGGATTTCACAAGGCACTAGGAGTTGTGCCAGGAAATCTGGAATTGTAATTGCTCAGGGCTAATAAAAATCTGAACAATTCCTTAATAACTTAAGAAACTGAATGCCGAAAGGGGCCTGCAGTAAGGCTGCATCACTCTTGCTGTCACTAGTATGCACATTTTGGGAAGAAGAGAATAGGACAGCTGGAGGAGTATTACTATTCCCTAGTAATGGAAGGATGTTTGGAACTAGGATAGGAAGCCTCCAGATCTATTAATATGCCAATGACATAATAGTTCAACAAAACATGGAATTTGGGATGAATCTGATCTTACAATGAGCAAATTTAGACCTGAACTTCATTACCGTAAAATTAATTGATCCCTTTTCCCAGGTAATTTCAGAAAAGCTTACCCATCACAAATCAAATAATAAAGATATCCCTTCCCTTCAGATCAGATTACATGAGAAAAAATATACAGTGGCTGGTTCCCACAATGAAATAAACATGATTGGTTTAACAGGCTTTTACTAAATAAACCACAGCTCGAGTTCAGGCAACAAAAAATCATAAAGAATGATTTTCAGACAACTATGGCTAAGTTCACACAATACATTAAGCAAAACCCCAGACCATATTATGCCTTAGGAGGCCTAATAATCATAGTCAATAAAGGGACTTGAGAGTATATGTGGACCTGCTTTGAATGATTTTCTCTCTCTCTTAGATTAAGCTTTTAAACACCTGCTTTGTTTAAAACATATTTCTCTACTGTAGAGCCTTTTCAAATTCTGCTAGGGATCCTTTGGTGGCAAAGATTTTTGCTGACTGATCAAGAAAGGGAAGAAAGGGAAATTAGATTCCAAGTCCTTCATATTACTTGAATTAAAACCCAGAAGACAGAAAAGACTGTCTTACATTTTTGACAGTGTTTATGACGTAAAGTAGTGTGAAGGGGAGGTAGGCTTGGGTGTAAATTCACTGGATGATTTGCAAATTATTTCCCAAAGATTTTGGGATTCTAATTATATAACAAAGGCAATAGCAAAATCCAAAGGAACTTGGATATAGCTTGGTCTATGCAGCTCATTTCTCTATATGGTTCAAGAATGTAGTAGGCAATAATAATAATAATAA